CCCCCCCCCCCCCCGAACCCCAGCTAGCCTCTGCTTAGCAGGGGCTTCTGGAGGCTTCTGGCCTGGGACTGTTTCTACCTACCTGCACCAAGGGAAATACAGATAAGAGGGAGGTAGACACAGTCTTTGGGACCAGCCAGACCTGCAGCCAGGAACCATGTGGTACTGGCAGGCGGACAGGCTGGGGGGAGCGGGGAAATGGCTGCAGCAAGTGGAGAGAAGGGGGAGCAAGCGGATGCGCGGAGCACAGCAACAGCAGGGTAGGAGTGCAAGGCCCACACCAGTGCACTGGGGCCAGCGCTGGCAGGGGCTAGAGCAGGGTGGCAGGAGCATGGGGCCCAGACTGGCAGGGACTCTGTGGAGCCAGGCTGCCCAGCTCCATAGAGCCCCTGGCAGCCTGGGCCCCATGCTCCTGCTGCCCCTCGCTGGGCCCTGCTGGTACTGGCCCTGGTACACTGGTGTGGGCCCCACGCTCCGGCCTGGCTGTTGCTGCACTCCACATGTCTGATCGTTATGCCTTCCCCCCACCTACTGCAGCCAGTTCCCCGCTCCCCCCCCCGCCCACCTGCTAGTACCGCGTGGTTCCCAGCTGCAGCACCAGGACTGCAGGAGCATCTGGGATGTGGTGCCGGAGCAGCCAAGAGGATGGAGAAGCAGCAGAAGGGCAGCAGTGGCAAATGGGGGGGCAAGTGGCAGAGTGCAGGAGCACGGGGCCTGCACCAGTACCCTGGGGCCAGAAGCGGCAGGTGTGCACAGCCCAGGCTTGCAGGAGCATTGGAAGGGGGCTCTGCCTGCCACATGCTTGGGGGTGGGGGGGAAGAGGGCTGTGGGCAAACCATCCCCTCCATGCAAGCCACAACCTTCCCCCAGCCACACCCCCCACTCCTATCCACCCCCCACAGATCACACGCACATCCCTACCTACAAACCTGTACCAACCCTCCCACAATATACAATAGTAAAATTTCATTTTAAACTATTATACTATCACCTTCATGTACACTACACAAACGCATGTAAATCAAGATAAAAATATTTTTTGAACTGAAATTAATGTTGTAGTATGTTTGATTTTTAGAATATACTTTGGTATTTTTCTGGTTCAGAGATGGCAAAACCCCTTGATAAAAGGAGTACTTCTGGGGGCAAGGGGAGGGACTTCTGGTGGCATAGGTCAGGGTTTAGGGGGTGGGACTTCCAGTCCAAGTAAGCTGCCAGGGGGTGGGGCACCTGTCAAGGGGCAAGCCATGTGGCCCTCAATGGCTTGCCAAAACTGGGTAAGGAGCCCTCTGCTTGAAATATGCCTGGCCCTGGGCCTGGGACCCTGTAGGTGCCTAAACAAGACATCAGCAAATTTTAAGCACTTACATCACAAAGAGTGATCCAAATCAACCCTACTCAAAGCTGCTTAATTGCCTATGTTAGATGTCTCAATTTTGTCTTGAAAAGGTCCTAGTTCCTAGGAATTTGGGTCTCCGGGGAATTTAGCTGCCTCGCAGTAGTCATCCATATCACTGCAGAGCTTAGGCTAGAATTAAATGCCTAGGTGGCTGGTCTGGACCACTTCCAAGCAGGCATGAGGGCAGTAGTGATGGGAAGACAGGAATCCCCCTCCCAAGAGAATGTCCTAACCCAGTAGGCTGAAGAGTCAGAGGAGGTGGCGTACAAGAGAGAGCATGACTGGACTCTTCAGTTGTTAGAGCACTAGCATGCAGCAAGGACTGCTTATTCATTTTACGTAAAACAGAGTCCTGGGATGATGAGGTTGAAAATATCTAAAGTAAGAGCTTGTGGTGTTGAATGACATAAGAGCACTATGACTAAGCAAGGTATTACACAAGAAATCCTACGTCTGGTTTCAGTGACCAGACTATATGCACTCTTTTATAGTCTAATCATAGAATGTGTGTAGAACCTAAAGTGATTTTGTACGCATCTGATCAAGCTTTTCTACTTGTTATGGTGTTTGTAAATCATTGCAAATTCACTCTCTATTACCTGCTATCCTTTTTATAATGGACCGTATTATTGAGACAAGTTAATATGCTCTGTAATTGCTGTTCTGTCATAACCGCATGTTTAATTCCTGTCTTTTCCTCTCTCACGCTCCAATGCAGTGATTTAGAGAAGCATAATATTTGGTTTCCATATCAGTTGTATACCAAATTATTATTTTTAATGTTTGGGGGTTTTTTGGATGTGAGGATTAATTTTATTCCTAGTATTGAGCTAGGACCCTATAACAGTAGAAAAGGGGAGGGTCCCTGTGAACTATTCCCTTATAATATCAGATTCTGTCTACAGACCAAGGGAGTGAAAAATCTGCTGCTGCAGCCTTTAATGCTTGCAAACTCCAGGAACATGGGGAAAGCAGACAGGCTCGACTGATTTCCCCCCCCCCCCACTGTATCACTGAGCCAGAGGCAAGCACAAATAGCCTCAGACTCAGACAGCTCAAACCCTGTGTGTTCTGGCTTTGAGACAAGCTTTTAGCTATTTGAGTTTTGAACCAATTAAATTTAATCCTATATATTACATAATTGCTCACTGATGGTCATAATGATTTAGATGTTTCAGTGATTCTGTTGTTCTGATACTAGGAAACCAGTGGCTTCTTTCAGTGTCAATATTTTTCCGGGACGAAAAGCTGGGAGGTTATCCACTGCTTTGCATTGTTGCATCATTTATGCAGATACTCTCTTCGTAGAACCAATCGAACTAGTCCCTTTGAGAGATGCAGTATTTTCCATCTGACAGTGCAGCATGGCAGGGAATTAAAAATTCTAGGCTAAAACCCAGCGATGTTAACAAGGGGGATCTTATAAAATCATAATTCATAGGACCAATAATTGATGGCTAGCAAGAACCTCTAATTTATTTGTGCACATTCACAAGCTGCTCTTATTTTGCAGCCTCTGTTCAGCTGTGGAGGTCACGTCTGGGCCGGGTGATATACTCCATGGCAAACTGTCTGCTAATGATGAAGGTACGTGGGTGGCAGCAACTGCAGAGCTACCGTATATACTAGAATAGAACGTCATAAAGTGCAAGAGAATTACTAGTGCATAGATAGGGAAAGGCTATTTGACTGTACGTGAAGGTTTATTTTAGTGGAAAATTAATTAGACTTAATAATGACTTATTTAATGAATAACCACTTTCAGTAATGTTCTGCAGGACTGTATCTGCATTTATTTCTCCCCAAATCATTTCAGATAGCATGCAGTAACAATAGTGAATTTACATTTTTAAATTGATTTTTTTCAAACGGTTACTAAATAAATACTGTAATTAAAATTAATTATCTTCTTCATACTGCGAATATGGAACGTTATTCCAGTTGCACACGCTAATGATAGTGTAGGTCTTGTGTATGACAGAGACCCAAAGCATTCTTCTCCATTGTCCACCTGGCTGTTCCAGAAGATCCTAGCCTTAAAGTTTTCTATTCCCTGTAGAAATACCTGCAAAGAAAGGAATAATCAGAGAAGAGTTGGTAATTTTTTTCCTTCTTCCCCCATCCTCACTCCTGTAAATCATGCTACTCCATTTTGTGCAGCATTTTCAGCTTCTCCATGTATTCAGAAGGAAGGAATAACACCTCTGAAGTTCACGTCATCGTCATGGGAATAGAGCTGTCCCTATGCTAAGTTTGTAGCAGTAGTTGTGCAGACTGCTATAACCCTGAGCTTAAAGCTATTTTACAAATCAGTTAGCAGCAAAAGCCCCAGAGCAACGCTATCAGCACCAAACCAAGATCTTCACTTCCCCCACACTCTCAGTTTACTAGTTGCCCAAGGTCATTCCTTAACCTGGCTTTCCATAAGGCTTAATAAGCTATTTACCAAGCTAGGCGTTCATGATGCTTCCTTTTTAACACTGAAGCAGCATATATTGATGAAAAAACAGTTGTCCAAATGCTCCCTTGAAATGCAGCATCCTGTTTTTATAAGGATCCCAAGAAACAGAAATATATATTCATAGTAGTTAGACTGAGATCAATTTATTTCCTTCTTATGTAAATAGGACTGTACAGGGTGGTCAGAAGGAAGCAGCAGTCTATAAACTGAATAAGATTTTTTTTTTAATCAGATTTTCAACCACATTTTGTTTCCAGGAAACTCTTTTTAAAATACTAGTAAAAAAAAACAAAACACAAACCTAATCCCTGAGCATCTCCATCCCAAACAAAGCTGAAGTTGGGTATATTAATAACATAAGCTAAAAGAAATACTGTTAACATATTCTGCCAACTGCTGTAACTCTTTGGAAGCTTTACTTTTTAATTCATGTTTTCTGAACTTGACATCTTACCCAGCTGCTTCTGCCCACCTAGTATTTTCTTTTCTACTCCTGTTCCTATACCCATTTAACCCTTATCATCAGATTTCTTCCTAACTTCAGCAGTGGTGTATAGTCCCCTAAACTAGTCAACAGTGGGTGCATCTACACATTGTAATAAGTATATAGCAACAAGCTCTGGTGCAGTTTGCACCGGAGTTTATTGCTCCTGGGTGCAGCATCTACATGTGTACTCAGGATTGCAGCATGCTGAGCTGGAGCAGAGCAGCTCTGACTGGAAGAGCTCGGGGGTCAGTCTGTTAGCCACAGCTCCTTCACCCTGGCTCGGGCTGGCTGGGGCATGGGGGTGCTCCAGTACAGGGCTAGCCAGCAGGCAGCCACCACACTGTAGCATCCTTGTGCCTCAGCCAGCCCCAGTCACCTTATACACATGTGTTTCAGCATACTAAACTCTGGAATAGGGTAGTACTTGTCCCAGACAGTGCTATCTTACAGTGGAGTTAGTTAATTTACTGTGCCCTAATAGGCACACCCATGTATATGGTGACACTTTACTGCAGAGCTAATTAGTCAACTGCTCAGTAAAGCACACATGTAGATGCACGCAGTCGTTCTGAAAATGGTACTTCAAGAATAGCACAACTCATTCTTCTCCTTATATGTTTCACAACCAAGGAACTTCAAAATCTGTAATCTCTCTCAGGTTAGGAAATTAGACTTCCAAGATCATTTTCAGTTTTCAGATCTCCCAGGTAACAACAGATGTTGCTACTGAACTCCTAGTCATCTTACAGTAAACAAGCTGTAAGGAATAACTTCTTCATATAATCATTATTAAACAAACAGGCTTTCATGAAAGTAAGTGCATCTGAGGAAACCAGTTGCACAAAGCTTCAAATATCTAAAAGAGTTATCTGTTATACATAAGATGGTTTTGGAGGACTATTTTTCAAATTTTTATTCATCTTAAGTATAAAAAATGTAGTTATAACATATGCACTTGTGCACATGCACACACATATACAAATTCTGGGTTCCTTCTAAACTGAGTTAGTGCAATCTGTTGCCATCTAGTGAATATATACCATATTGCAATATTCTCTTGTGTTGATTCAGAAGTATTATTAATTGAATGGAATAACTTGAGCGAAAATAACTGACCTAGTAATGTGGGAAAAAGCACTGATTTGTATCTAATTTTTATTAGCCTATTCCTTTAGCCAAAAATTAGTATTTGTTGAAATATAATTCAGGATAATCTTCCAGACTAGAATTTTAAAGGAACCTAAAAGAGTAAGTCTTCAGATTCAAATTGTTTCAAAAGATCTCTTAACTTCGATTTAATCAGGAGTTAGATAGCTCAGCCGAAAGAGCAATTCAAACTAACTTGGCACTAGAATCCTAAAAACTCTTAACATGCCTCTTTTTGGGACAGGAGCGTTCCCTAAGCTAACACAGATATACACAGCTGCACAGAAGGAACCCAGATCATGGATTTCAGCAGCCCCCTCCCTGCTAAGCTCTAGAATGATATATATTGTCCATTGGATGCAGCTGAGCCCCACATACATCCTGGGAGAGGGGCAAGCCATTAACCAGACCAAAACCATGACTAGCTCACGTCCCCAGCACTAAGTTCAGGCCAAACCCAGTTGGGATGGTTCTGCACTAGTCTAATGGTTAGAGCTTTTGCCCTAGCCATGAGAGACCTACATGCTTAGCTCCCCTCATCCTGAGGGGGTTTAAACCCAAATCTCCCACTTTGCAGAAGAGTGCCCTGAGATGGAGGAGTCCCAGATCCAGATGCCTACTGGCACTTCTATTTCTGTTTTTAGCCAATGGCTTTTTAACATTAAAATTCATAAATAATGCTGGGAAGCAGGGACAAAAGCTGCAGACTCTTTCCCAAGGAACTACCCTAACTATCGGACTGCAGAGGCACACTTTGGATTAGATATTATTTGGTTAAAAAACTGACAGTATGCGCCAAAACTGAGGATTCCTCCGTCATAGAACAGGCCTAACCAGTAGACAATAAAAGCAGCCTCCTCCTCCTTGCTTGTTCTTTTGGCCCCATGGCTTGTGTACTCTGTTTGCCTAGCTGCAGCTTCAAGCTTCAGCTAAGAAAGCCTACTAATAAGTTGTCTGAGAAGTAGGAGACATAGATCTGAATCTTTTCAAAGTGACAAAGGCCTTGAAACCCAGGACTGATTTTTTTGGCAAATGCTATAATTACTATGCTGTTATTCAAAAAGTGGACTCAGCTGCATCACCATGCATTCTTGTTCACCTGTCTTCAGAAACAAAGTATGCAGCAATCTCAGAAATGCAGCTGAGTGTTTTGAATGCAAGTGAATGGGATGCCTTGAGGCCTTAGTGTTTCCCACTGTCTTCCTCTAAACCAGTGGTTCCCAATCTGTGGTACATGTACCACCAGTGGTACACAGACAACCTGTCAGTGGTATGCATTAACCACTTTATCATAATTACCTTATTTGACAAAAATTTGTTGGTGGTACTTAAGGTTGTATCATTTTAAATTGGAGGTGCGCAATCTGTCAGAGTTTGGGAACCACTGCTCTAAGCACCTCCAGGGTTTCTGAATTGTCCTTTGGAGGCATGTATCATTTACCATTTGCTGTAGGGAACACCAGAAGACACAAACTCAAACCATTCTTAGGCTTCTCTGAAGTGTCTCCATTGATTCTAATTGGGTCATTTTGAATGTACTTCCCCCAGAAAACACACTGAAGTGAGGCATTACCAAACTTACGTTTGGATGCTCAATGAGGCAATTTGAATCCTATCCTTAGATTTTCAATGGGAGTTCAACACTCAGCTCCTTCCAGCTCCTTCAGTAATCCCAGGCTCAACCAAGTAGAGTCTGGTTTTGCTTCCCTATGTGCCATCAAATAGTTCTAATGAGCCTGTTCTCTCTAGTTCTATGGCTGCATTGCCATAGTACCTGAACGTGTCCTACTAGTACAGGCTGAGGTATGGAAATGCACTATTTGCAAATGAAGGCACAGAGAAGTGACTTGTCCAGACTTGCATGGGAAATCTGTGATGGCTCTCCTGAACTACTGGATCATCTTTCTAAATATAGAATTCTGTCCCTTGTGCTTCTGCATTCATAAACAGTAATTCATAATGATAAACTGATGAGGAGCATTACCTTATTCCAACAATGTAATTGCAAAAAATAAACATAATGTTACTAATTTGTCCTGGAATATTTTCATTTTGAAAACATAGGCTTGATTTTCCTTCCCCGGCTGAAATTGCTTCAGCATTACCATACCAGTATGCTGGTTTTTGGTTTGTTGAAACATAAAACTTAACAGCTTTCTCAATACTATCATAGTGTTGCACTCTAATTTTAAAAAAGGCATTTTCTGTATTTTTAAATGTATATATTATTTCAGAAAAGTCTCCACTTCTGCATAGGTTACACTTACTAGAACCAGTAGCAGAAGAAGTATTTTAAATCTGGGTCTACTACAATTAAAATGATGAGGCGGAAGACTGCCTGTACTAATGACAAGAGTCTGATGCCTAGGGCTCTCTTCTGATTTGGATTCTCTTCTAATTTAAAGGAGAGAAACAACATAAATTGTCATCTGTCTTGCTTAAATTATGCTGCAGCACTATTTTCTGGATTCTTAATGCAGTGAATCTGTTTTC